TTGGGACTCATAACTTTCTGAGGAGTCTCTCGTGAGGCACAGTATTCAAGGCATGGCTAATGAATATATTTCCCAGTATATACGTTTGAAATATACTAGAAAAGAGTAACTTTGTTATACACGAGCGACACCTTAGTTAAATCATAATGAATTACATATTAATTTAGTTTTCCAACATGTAGATAAATATTTGTTTATGTTAATAAAATTATGCCCAAGTATAGTGTGAATGTTCGCATCCTATCAGAGTACACTTGCCTTAATATGCATGTTTATAAATTAGCAATACAATGATAGAAGGTTAGTGAATTTCTTATTAATATATGATTCTTGTATGTAAAACTGAACTAATTACAAGTATCATTATATTGTTACTACAACGACTAGTTGATAAGGATAGGATTTAGGTCATAGCCAGGGGGGGGGGGGCGGAGTCAGGCAGGGAGGGGCGTGGTTGTCACATGCTCAACCAACGTCCACCTTCTCTAAGGTCATAGATTTTGAAGATCGTTCTGTAAACAGTATATTGTTTTTTGTCACACTCATTCACGAGAGCGTGAGAGTGCATTGATAGGTGTCGGCAAGAGGTGCACACCTGAGTGTTGTCAGCGGCTGTCAGTAGTGTTGTCTCTCAATAGTGTGTTGTCAGGGGTGTCAGTTGCTCCCAACAGTGTGTTGTCAGGGGTGTCAGTTGTTCCCAACAGTGTGTTGTCAGGGTGTGTCAGTTGTTCCCAACAGTGTGTTGTCAGGGTGTGTCAGTTGTTCCCAACAGTGTGTTGTCAGGGTGTGTCAGTTGTTCCCAACAGTGTGTTGTCAGGGTGTGTCAGTTGTTCCCAACAGTGTGTTGTCAGGGGTGTCAGTTGTTCCCAACAGTGTGTTGTCAGGGTGTGTCAGTTGTTCCCAACAGTGTGTTGTCAGGGTGTGTCAGTTGTTCCCAACAGTGTGTTGTCAGGGTGTGTCAGTTGCTCCCAACAGTGTGTTGTCAGGGTGTGTCAGTTGCTCCCAACAGTGTGTTGTCAGGGTGTGTCAGTTGCTCCCAACAGTGTGTTGTCAGGGTGTGTCAGTTGTTCCCAACAGTGTGTTGTCAGGGGTGTCAGTTGTTCCCAACAATGTGTTGTCAGGGGGTGTCAGTTGCTCCCAACAGTGTGTTGTCAGGGGTTGTCAGTTGCTCCCAACAGCGTGTTGCCAGAGGGTGTCCGCATTATATCACTAAACAAAGCCATACGATGTGGGACATTGTTGACAGACTGACAGAAGTGTTGGTATACGGAGAGTTCCAAGGGAAGTATCGTTCTTACAGTCTTGTAAAACCACTACCATGCTTAGCATTTCGAGCAGGTTCTTAATCCTTATTTTTCCCCGGAATACGACCCGCCAAATCGTAGAAATAAATTAAAAAAAAAATCTGCTGGGTGAACAGAGGCTACAGATAAGGATTGGCGCCCAGTTAATCCTTCCTGGCTAGGATACGATACCCAGGCCAAAGCGCTCGCGAAGCGCCTGACGAATGCTTTACTAAATTATCTTGAGATGATTTCGGGGCTTAGCGTCCCCGCGGCCCGGTCCTCAACCAGGCCTCCTTTTTGTTACACACCCCCAAGAAGCAGCCCGTAGCAACTGTCTAAGTCCCGGGTACCTATTTACTCACAGGTAACAGGAGCATCAGGGTGAAAAAATCTCTGCCCAGTTGTTTCCGCCTCCACCTGGGATCGAACCCGTAACCTCAGGCCTACGAATCCGAAGCGCTGTCCACTCAGTTGTCAGGACCATGTTGGGGACTATGAGGACCATAGGGACTGATCAATTTGTGTTGACACTTGTTGAGTGTAATGTTGTCTTGTGGTGCTACCAGTGGTCTTGTGGTGTGGTGTAGTGCCACCAGTGGTCTTGTGGTGTGGTGTAGTGCTACCAGTGGTCTTGTGGTGTGGTGTAGTGCCACCAATGGTCTTGTGGTGTGGTGTAGTGCCACCAGTGGTCTTGTGGTGTGGTGTAGTGCCACCAGTGGTCTTGTGTGGTGTAGTGCCACCAGTGGTCTTGTGGTGTGGTGTAGTGCCACCAGTGGTCTTGTGGTGTAGTGTAGTGCCACCAGTGGTCTTGTGGTGTGGTGTAGTGCTACCAGTGGTCTTGTTGTGGTGTAGTGCCACCAGTGGTCTTGTTGTGTGGTGTAGTGCTACCAGTGGTCTTGTGGTGTGGTGTAGTGCCACCAGTGGTCTTGTGGTGTGGTGTAGTGCCACCAGTGGTCTTGTGTGGTGTAGTGCTACCAGTGGTCTTGTGGTGTGGTGTAGTGCCACCAGTGGTCTTGTTGTGTGGTGTAGTGCCACCAGTGGTCTTGTGTGTGTGTAGTGCCACCAGTGGTCTTGTGGTGGTGTAGTGCTACCACCAGTGGTCTTGTGTGTGTGTGTAGTGCCACCAGTGGTCTTGTGGTGTGGTGTAGTGCCACCAGTGGTCTTGTTGTGTGGTGTAGTGCCACCAGTGGTCTTGTGGTGTGGTGTAGTGCCACCAGTGGTCTTGTTGTGTGGTGTAGTGCCACCAGTGGTCTTGTTGTGTGGTGTAGTGCCACCAGTGGTCTTGTTGTGTGGTGTAGTGCCACCAGTGGTCTTGTTGTGTGGTGTAGTGCCACCAGTGGTCTTGTGTGGTGTAGTGCCACCAGTGGTCTTGTGGTGTGGTGTAGTGCCACCAGTGGTCTTGTGTGGTGTAGTGCCACCAGTGGTCTTGTGGTGTGGTGTAGTGCCACCAGTGGTCTTGTGTGGTGTAGTGCTACCAGTGGTCTTGTGGTGTGGTGTAGTGCCACCAGTGGTCTTGTTGTGTGGTGTAGTGCCACCAGTGGTCTTGTTGTGTGGTGTAGTGCCACCAGTGGTCTTGTGTGGTGTAGTGCCACCAGTGGTCTTGTGGTGTGGTGTAGTGCCACCAGTGGTCTTGTGTGTGGTGTACCAGTGGTCTTGTTGTGTGGTGTAGTGCTACCAGTGGTCTTGTTGTGTGGTGTAGTGCCACCAGTGGTCTTGTTGTGTGGTGTAGTGCTACCAGTGGTCTTGTGTGGTGTAGTGCCACCAGTGGTCTTGTGGTGTGGTGTAGTGCCACCAGTGGTCTTGTTGTGTGGTGTAGTGCCACCAGTGGTCTTGTGGTGTGGTGTAGTGCCACCAGTGGTCTTGTGGTGTGGTGTAGTGCCACCAGTGGTCTTGTTGTGTGGTGTAGTGCCACCAGTGGTCTTGTGTGGTGTAGTGCCACCAGTGGTCTTGTGGTGTGGTGTAGTGCCACCAGTGGTCTTGTGGTGTGGTGTAGTGCCACCAGTGGTCTTGTGTGGTGTAGTGCCACCAGTGGTCTTGTGGTGTGGTGTAGTGCCACCAGTGGTCTTGTAGTGTGGTGTAGTGCCACCAGTGGTCTTGTGGTGTGGTGTAGTGCCACCAGTGGTCTTGTAGTGTGGTGTAGTGCCACCAGTGGTCTTGTGGTGTGGTGTAGTGCCACCAGTGGTCTTGTAGTGTGGTGTAGTGCCACCAGTGGTCTTGTGGTGTGGTGTAGTGCCACCAGTGGTCTTGTTGTGTGGTGTAGTGCCACCAGTGGTCTTGTAGTGTGGTGTAGTGCCACCAGTGGTCTTGTGGTGTGGTGTAGTGCCACCAGTGGTCTTGTAGTGTGGTGTAGTGCCACCAGTGGTCTTGTGGTGTGGTGTAGTGCCACCAGTGGTCTTGTAGTGTGGTGTAGTGCCACCAGTGGTCTTGTGGTGTGGTGTAGTGCCACCAGTGGTCTTGTAGTGTGGTGTAGTGCCACCAGTGGTCTTGTGGTGTGGTGTAGTGCCACCAGTGGTCTTGTAGTGTGGTGTAGTGCCACCAGTGGTCTTGTGGTGTGGTGTAGTGCCACCAGTGGTCTTGTTGTGTGGTGTAGTGCCACCAGTGGTCTTGTTGTGTGGTGTAGTGCCACCAGTGGTCTTGTTGTGTGGTGTAGTGCCACCAGTGGTCTTGTGGTGTGGTGTAGTGCCACCAGTGGTCTTGTTGTGTGGTGTAGTGCCACCAGTGGTCTTGTGGTGTGGTGTAGTGCCACCAGTGGTCTTGTTGTGTGGTGTAGTGCCACCAGTGGTCTTGTGGTGTGGTGTAGTGCCACCAGTGGTCTTGTGGTGTGGTGTAGTGCCACCAGTGGTCTTGTTGTGTGGTGTAGTGCCACCAGTGGTCTTGTTGTGTGGTGTAGTGCCACCAGTGGTCTTGTGTGGTGTAGTGCCACCAGTGGTCTTGTGGTGTGGTGTAGTGCCACCAGTGGTCTTGTGGTGTGGTGTAGTGCTACCAGTGGTCTTGTTGTGTGGTGTAGTGCCACCAGTGGTCTTGTTGTGTGGTGTAGTGCCACCAGTGGTCTTGTTGTGTGGTGTAGCCACCAGTGGTCTTGTGGTGTGGTGTAGTGCCACCAGTGGTCTTGTGGTGTGGTGTAGTGCCACCAGTGGTCTTGTGGTGTGGTGTAGTGCCACCAGTGGCCAGTGGCAGAGCCTGGCGCTTTTCTTTTAACGCGCTGAACCAAACCTTTTTAAAATAAGATAAAATGTTGGTTTATACGGAGCCTACTGGCCTGGACCACTTCCGTGTCAGTAATACCTGCTCACTGGGGTTTCTGTGTGTAGCTCTTCGTTGGGATTTAAAGTTATAACTTTCTGGTTCATTGTTTTCTTCATTGCGTAAAAAAAATCACAGTATTAAACTAGGAAAGAATTCCAGCTGCTGGGACATATAGAATCCCCTTAGAATTATGACAGTAGTTCCCATGGTGTGGTGATTATCAAAATAATATACCACCACTCTATCCCTCTCTTAGACACCTGTGATAGTGTATGCTGCCCATTGTCCCTCTTCAATCCCGCCATTAACAAGTATCTCCAGCTAATATTCCCACGCTTCTGTGCAAAAAATGAAATTACAGCACAATGATCGAGGGCTTATAATGTTTGGTACGAAAAATAAACACTCCACTTATGCTCACACTCATATACAACGGAGTTTTAACAAAGAAAAGAGTGGTGGACGTACCAGAGATCTTACCATACTGTAGATTTCTTCTTTATGTCTGGCAGCAATTGAAGGACAACACACAAGTCTTGTAGATCACTACTAGCACTGACCAGCGAATATCGCGGTACGGTCTGCTGTGGATTTATCCTACACTGTCGGCTAGTTTTTGAGCGGACTCGGGTGGCTACAGTGTGGTACAGAGGGAGAGTGCGGGTGTAAGGGCACGCGCGCCAGGAGTGAGAGTGGCGCCGCGGAGAGCGGGTGTGACCACACTGGCCGAGTCCTCCAGGTTATAAAGGTAGAGTGGGTGGGCGGAGCTTACTGGCCCGGGATGCCGCTTCTAGTCACACACAGTTTATGTAATAAATCATGTATTGTATACGTTGTTCTTACTTTGAAATATTATTGTTAACGCTTTTGTACCAAAAATGTTCAGTAGGGCAGTAGTCTACGCAGTCGGCATACAAGCAAAATGTCCAGGTTCGTTTCCCGCGCTGTTTTGAACTTTATTGCACATTTCCCTTCATACGATGCCTCTATTCACCTAACAGTAAATAGGTACCCGGGAGCGAGGCAATTATTGTGGGTTGCATCCTTGTGACGGTAGACCTAGGGAGGGGGGGGGCCTCGATAAGACTAACAGGCTCCATGACACCGATATCGGGGAACCAAATATTTTCATCCACTGCCGACTGTATCCCGAGGTGGTATGTGAACGAGGGTGAGGCAGGACAGGCCTGCAGTGTGAGCCAAGGTGAGGCAGGACAGGCCTGCAGTGTGAGCCAAGGTAAGGCAGGACAGGCCTGCAGTGTGAGCCAAGGTGAGGCAGGACAGGCCTGCAGTGTGAGCCAGGGTGAGGCAGGACAGGCCTGCAGTGTGAGCAAGGTGAGGCAGGACAGGCCTGCAGTGTGAGCGAGGGTGAGGCAGGACAGGCCTGCAGTGTGAGCCAGGGTGAGGCATGACAGGCCTGCAGTGAGCCAGGGTGAGGCATGACAGGCCTGCAGTGTGAGCGAGGGTGAGGCAGGACAGGCCTGCAGTGTGAGCCAAGGTGAGGCAGGACAGGCCTGCAGTGTGAGCGAGGGTGAGGCAGGACAGGCCTGCAGTGTGAGCCAGGGTGAGGCAGGACAGGCCTGCAGTGTGAGCCAAGGTGAGGCAGGACAGGCCTGCAGTGTGAGCCAAGGTGAGGCAGGACAGGCCTGCAGTGTGAGCCAGGGTGAGGCATGACAGGCCTGCAGTGTGAGCCAGGGTGAGGCAGGACAGGCCTGCAGTGTGAGCCAAGGTGAGGCAGGACAGGCCTGCAGTGTGAGCCAGGGTGAGGCATGACAGGCCTGCAGTGTGAGCGAGGGTGAGGCAGGACAGGCCTGCAGTGTGAGCCAAGGTGAGGCAGGACAGGCCTGCAGTGTGAGCGAGGGTGAGGCAGGACAGGCCTGCAGTGTGAGCCAGGGTGAGGCATGACAGGCCTGCAGTGTGAGCGAGGGTGAGGCAGGACAGGCCTGCAGTGTGAGCGAGGGTGAGGCAGGACAGGCCTGCAGTGTGAGCCAGGGTGAGGCAGGACAGGCCTGCAGTGTGAGCCAGGGTGAGGCAGGACAGGCCTGCAGTGTGAGCCAGGGTGAGGCATGACAGGCCTGCAGTGTGAGCCAGGGTGAGGCAGGACAGGCCTGCAGTGTGAGCGAGGGTGAGGCAGGACAGGCCTGCAGTGTGAGCGAGGGTGAGGCAGGACAGGCCTGCAGTGTGAGCGAGGGTGAGGCAGGACAGGCCTGCAGTGTGAGCCAGGGTGAGGCAGGACAGGCCTGCAGTGTGAGCCAAGGTGAGGCAGGACAGGCCTGCAGTGTGAGCCAGGGTGAGGCAGGACAGGCCTGCAGTGTGAGCCAGGGTGAGGCATGACAGGCCTGCAGTGTGAGCCAGGGTGAGGCAGGACAGGCCTGCAGTGTGAGCCAAGGTGAGGCAGGACAGGCCTGCAGTGTGAGCCAGGGTGAGGCAGGACAGGCCTGCAGTGTGAGCGAGGGTGAGGCAGGACAGGCCTGCAGTGTGAGCCAAGGTGAGGCAGGACAGGCCTGCAGTGTGAGCGAGGGTGAGGCAGGACAGGCCTGCAGTGTAAGCCAGGGTGAGGCAGGACAGGCCTGCAGTGTGAGCGAGGGTGAGGCAGGACAGGCCTGCAGTGTGAGCGAGGGTGAGGCAGGACAGGCCTGCAGTGTGAGCCAAGGTGAGGCAGGACAGGCCTGCAGTGTGAGGCAGGACAGGCCTGCAGTGTGACCCAGGGTGAGGCAGGACAGGCCTGCAGTGTGAGCCAAGGTGAGGCAGGACAGGCCTGCAGTGTGAGCCAGGGTGAGGCAGGACAGGCCTGCAGTGTGAGCGAGGGTGAGGCAGGACAGGCCTGCAGTGTGAGGCAGGTCAGGCCTGCTGTGTGAGTCAGGGTGAGGCAGGACAGGCCTGCAGTGTGAGCGAGCGTGAGGCAGGACAGGCCTGCAGTGTGAGCCAGGGTGACGCAGGACAGGCCTGCAGTGTGAGCCAGGGTGAGGCAGGACAGGCCTGTATTGTGAGCCAGGGTGAGGCAGGACAGGCCTGCAGTGTGAGTCAGGGTGAGGCAGGACAGGCTTGCAGTGTGAGGCAGGACAGGCCTGCAGTGTGAGCCAGGGTGAGGCAGGACAGGCCTGCAGTGTGAGCCAGGGTGAGGCAGGACAGGCCTGCAGTGTGAGCCAGGGTGAGGCAGGACAGGCCTGCAGTGTGAGCCAGGGTGAGGCAGGACAGGCCTGCAGTGTGAGCCAGGGTGAGGCAGGACAGGCCTGCAGTGTGAGCCAGGGTGAGGCAGGACAGGCCTGCAGTGTGAGCCAGGGTGAGGCAGGACAGGCCTGCAGTGTGAGCCAGGGTGAGGCAGGACAGGCCTGCAGCATGAGCTTGGCAACAACCAACCACAACCATCTGAACCAAGTAAAAAAGTTATTGTGTTTACCAGTTAATGTTCCTAGACTGTGCTGGTCGGTAATATACATTATATAAACTCTACATTACTGTCCACACATCTGTATCTATATTATTGACAAATTAACGTACACGTGCGTGTGATTTTGCGTTCGTTTATTTGTATTCACCTATTTGTGCCTGGAGGATCGAGCGAGCTCTTGCTCCCCCACCATTCCAGTCGCATGATATCTAAGTCATCTACAAGGCCAATTACTGATATCCCAGGATGCAACCCACAATAGTAGTCAACCTCCTAGGTACCTATTTACACTGCTAGATGAACAGAGGTTATCTTGAGATGATTTCGGGGCTTTTTAGTGTCCCCGCGGCCCGGTCCTCGACCAGGCCTCCACCCCCAGGAAGCAGCCCGTGACAGCTGACTAACACCCAGGTACCTATTATACTGCTAGGTAACAGGGGCATAGGGTGAATGAAACTCTACCCAATGTTTCTCGCCGGCGCCAGGGATCGAACCCAGGGCCACAGGATCACAAGTCCAGCGTGCTGTCTGCTCGGCCGACCGGCTCCCCTGGTAGGTAGGTGTGTGCGTGCGTGCAAATAGATAACTTTCAACATCTTGTAAATTTTTAATTTAATTTTTTTGTGTAACTCTGCACGGTGTTAGATAATGTTTCAGTGGATTGTTTAGCCATATGTCCCCAGTTTGCTAACTGTAGGTAGTACCAGAGTGACTGTAACCTATCCACTGCTGCCCACTGGAAGGGGGGCGGGGGCAGGGGCGGTGTGCAGGATAAACATATCAACTGTGACACTAGCTCTCTTCATATGTCAGTTGCTTAACTTAGACTGTACTTATGGTCGGTCTCGAGCCCATTGTTGATGTGACGACGTGCACTGTATTGTGCAACTAGCTCATCAGGACTGTGAATATAGTAACTGCTACTAATAACTTAATGTGAATATTGTAACTGCAAATCTCCAAGTACATCATAATGGAAGGTCTCAAGAGTCAAATGGCTGGACATTCAGTAATGTATTTCAGGGTTCTTTAAGTACGAGTCGTGACCCAGTGTTGGAAAGTGACATGTCTTTCACGGTCAGACTCGACAGTCTGGCCCACCAGTCATACTGGACAGTCACACCCACCAGTCACACTGAACAGTCTGGCCCACCAGTCACACTGGACAGTCTGGCCCACCAGTCACACGGGACAGTCTGGCCCACCACTCACACTGGACAGTCTGGCCCACCAGTCACACTGGACAGTCTGGCCCACCAGTCACACTGGACAGTCTGGCCCACCAGTCACACTGGACAGTCACACCCACCAGTCACACTGAACAGTCTGGCCCACCAGTCACACTGGACAGTCTGGCCCACCAGTCACACGGGACAGTCTGGCCCACCACTCACACCAAAGATATAAATTGTAAAATGATGCATTTTGATGAAAATTTGATTAATTATAATCTCCTTAAAATAATACAGTGCGTCTTGACCGAGTGAAAAGCTTTGAATTGGCTGAGCTGTTATCTTGTTGTATACTAACTACATGTCACACAGTTTCCAACAAGCCCAGGAATATGGTGGTGAGGGCAGGCGATGGTGTTGTGGAAACAGGAAAGGGGGGGGGGGGCGGGGGTGATTTTGAAGAACCCTGATGTTGTGTGCAAGAGAGGTCTTATTTTTATTAAGATATTTATGTACGTTCATCTGCATTTATGAAGTTGCTTTAGAATATATAAAGGGTTACGTAGTGTGTATCTAGAGCTAGGTACGTGGTGCTAACAAATCTCCATCTGTAAGGATGTACGGTCAGTCATACAGGGGCATGTGATCAGTAACCAGCACTGGCAAATTTCAGTCACATTATGAGGATAACATGAAGATCACGGGAGTTGTTAAAGTGATTGGAAAGCTGCAGGCACTCGAACCAACATACAGTAGGGAGAGATCTTGACCAGTTCCTATACCCAGTTTACATGACTTTTTTTATTGTTATTAACACATTTAGGTACATCTGCATTTGTGCAGCTGCCCTAGACCTAGACTATATGAAGAGGAATACAGCGTGTCAAAAAGCTAGCTACGTGATGCTAAAATCCCCATCACACAGGATGGTTAGTCATACAATGGCATATAATAAGTATGGCTCGGGGTGGACAACCGGAGTGAAGTCTGCGGAGCGATACTGCTGTGTCTGGGGCCCTCAGGTACTTCAGTTCCCTAGACATTGAGTCGCGCACCAAATCTGCCCAGAAACAACATCAGACTCTCAGTTCTTTGCTTCATTATAGTTTCGTTCCCATTGGCGGGGACAGGACGCCTGTTGGGCAAATCGAGATCCCCTTAACTAAAGGG